AGTAAAGTAATTAATGTCCTATCGAGAGCATATTCGTTCGCTAGTTCGCGTGGACCTAATGGAAACTGGATATGAAAGAGTTGATAATTATTTAACAATTCAGAGACTTGAGTTGTATACGACCTAACGTCAGAGTGGGAGGTCGAGGATATAAGGGGTGAATAGTGATTTATGGTGAATATTAAAGATAATGAGAAATAGGATATGGAAATTATGGGACTAGTAGTTGACAGAAATCGAAGTGAGGACAATGACTTTAAAGTAGACGATCAGAGTAGCGCTACTGAAGTGGGATGTAACGCAGTTTGTTACGCGTGTGTGATTTGTTTGGAGTAAAGGGTTGAACATCCAAAGTTGCAGGAATGATGCAAAACCATTGGATATTCCAGAAGAGAGGTGATAGGTGAAGAGTTTGTGTTATTCACATTATTGTCATGTCAATAGATGTATTAATTCAAGTGTTCGACTGATGAATCATAGCATTGGAGTACTAATGTGGTGTATCAATGTTGTTGGATTAAAATGGTTAACAATGTTGAATGTTGATGAGTGGTAATCAAGATATTTATAGATAAGAAGTGGGAGTTAGAAAGTTGGATGCGAGAGTTGTGTCTGGAGTGTGTTGCATCGGGTAATTTTTTAGAACGAAAATATTCTAAGTGGGGGAGAGTTGTAACACCCCTTTTAAATATTTAGTCATTTGATGATTGGAATTGTAGAAATGTGTGGTTTGACTAAGGAGGTGTGAGAATTTAGTATAATTCGATAATTGGAATAAGCTTTAGATGACGATATAATAATGATAATATTGGTGAATGAAGAAATATTACTATTATTGATAATAAAAATATTATTAGATATATGGTATAGTTACCACTAATAATATTATTATTAATATTATGGTGATTATTATTATTATTATTATTATTATTATTATTATTATTATTATTATTATTATTATTATTATTATTATTATTATTATTATTATTATTATTGGGAAATAATAATAAGGAATAATTAAAGAGAATAGTGGAAGGAGAATTGGAAACAATTGTTTCACGTGAAAAGAAGAGAAGAGAAAAGAAGAGAAAAGAAGAGAGGGGAAGCTAGGGAAAAAGGGAGACAATGAGAATCCCGCCATTGTTGAAGGATCAAAGCTGTAAATTAAGGTAAGGGGGGAGAATGGGTTCTCTAAATGGTGATTATAACATGAGAGGATAGTGAGGGTTGCTTTCCCTCTTTAGGTTTTTCATGAATGAATTGATGAATGTCTTATTGGTCTGAATTCTATTGTTTTATATGATTGTTGTGTCAAATTCGTGAACCCCATGATGTTATTAATGTGTTTCTGTTGTGATTTTTATTGTTGTTTTGTTGTTCATAAAATCCCAAATCTGAGAAATTGTAGATTTAGGGATATGACGGAAATTGAAGGAATTGATGTAGAAATTAGTGTAGAATTGTAGAATCATGAAGTAGAATGAAATCCTTAAGTTAATATGTGAAACAATGTTGTTTTGGACGAAAATTTGGAGGTTGAAAGTGCTCAAAATGAGTGGAAATCATTTTGATGTGAAAACAGAGTTTTTTTTTGTCGCAAACTGCCGTTACGCGTAAGGCAGGCAGCGTTACGCGTAATGCATGCAGCGTTACACGTAAGGCAGAAGCATTACGCGCAAGGCATAATAAGACAGAAGGCAATGCGCGTAACACATGCAGCATTACGCGTATGGCAGGAAAGACATAAGGCATTACTCGTAATGCATGCAGCGTTACCCTTAAGGCAGGGCAGACAACAAGGCAATACGCGTATCGTAGGCAGCAATATGCGTATGGGCAGGCGAAGGTGCAAAAATTCCCGTTTTCGCGATTTCTTCCCGTTTTCGTGTGTGGAGTGTATTCTCTCAATCCATAATGACTAGTAAGGCTTAGGTAGATATAAGAAGGCTAGTAATTATAATAAATTAAGTTTAAAATATGGTACTTTGGGTGAATTAATTATGATGTGTAATAAAGAGTGTCGTTTTGAGTAGAGTGATATTATGTTGCTGTTGCTATTGAATATTAATGATGTATTGATAATGTGCTTAGTTGATGTGGTGTTATGCTACTTTTTTGTAATACTATGATGTTATGTTTTGAAATGTTGTTGTTGTGGAATGTTCATGATGGATTGGTAATATGCGTAGTGGATTGTGATATTATGACACTATGTTATTAAAATGTTGTTGTAATATTTGATGAAGTATGATACAATGATGTTGCATGGTTACATGTGTGGTGAGGGCTTATGCTCTGTTGGTGGCCTTTATTAGTGAACGTTGAAGATTTATGCCTTGTGGTTTTATAGTTATGTTGTTGCATATGATGTCGCATGTTGCATAGTGATGAGGGCTCATGCCCTGTTGTTGGCCTGTAATGGCATTGTGATGAGGGCTTATGCTCTATTATTGCCCAAATTGGCATATGTGATGAGGGTTTATTCCCTGATGGTACCACATGCATTGAGTTGATGTTGGTCTCATTGCATTACATCGTTTTGAGTTGATTTTGTATTACGTGAACGATGGTTATATTGTGAAGTGGTTGTGTGATGTGTGAATTGTGTGATTACTACTCCTTAGCATGTGATATTCACCATATATTTATTGAATGAAATTCTCACCCCTTTTGTGTTGTTGTGTCTGTGCTCCCCTGGGAGTACAGATAATCAGGTACCCGAGTAGTGCTTTGAGTGAGTGTTACCTGATCGAGTCCTAAGAGTCGCTCTGATACGTAACACGGGATTATGGAAACTTGCTATGTTTTATGTTATTTTATTTGTTACGTATCTTACCTTTATATTTATGTTGAACCACGAGTTTCGTGGAGAATGCTGTTATTTAAACCGTGGTGCTATGAAAATGAATATTTGATATTTCTGGTGTGTAAATAATTCTTTTATGAGAAACAAAGTAATAAATTCATTTGAAATCTTATGAGTTTTTGGAAGATGTGACATTCCATTTGTATACTCTGATATATTTTGTTTATTTTGTTATAATTATATAGTTGGGAGAGTGGGGTGTTACAAGAGACTTCGAAGAGTTCAACGTTGGCCCTTAAGCATTCACCTAACCCTTTTTAACCATAATGGGTAGGTCTCCCCCTATCTTTACCAATTGTGTCGGGTTGTTATCTAGTTGGATAACATCAAATTCTCCACCAGGTTGTTATCCATGTAGGGTTTCATTATCGTGTATGTCGATATTGACTACATTTGTCACTTCCTGTGCCTCCGTCTTTATCTTCTGAGGGATAACAACCACTAATAAGGGACTCTTCCGTGTTACTTCATGTATCTATTGTGGCCCACACAGATCGACTATGATTACAGCTAACTTGTCATAATTATTGTGGTACTTTATTTTAAGTTAGATGGCGGAAGTCACCTCATATAGAATTGCTAAGAATGACCGACCGAGATTGTTGTTATAAACTCTTGAACAAGGAATCACAAATATGTGAACATTCACAATTCTTTTATTTCTCCCTTCTCCAAAGAAAACTGGTGTATCTACATGTCCACATGAACTAGTAGGGGAATCATTGAATGCTAGGAGGGCTTGGCCTTCAGAAGGTCTCAGATCTTGCTTTATTAATCCTAACACTATAAATTTTTTTAGGTATATCAAGTTGCATAAACTACTTTCATCAATGAGGATCCCTAAGACACAATGATTTGCGGTGGTGATTAACATAAGTGTTGGGTTAGAAGTTCAATCCACCTTATTGTGGTCTTGGAACCATAATATTGGTCTATTGCTATTCGCTTCTCAATTAGTGACGCTCATTTGAGAGAAATCTGCGATGGAGATTCTTCTTTCTTGAACTAATTTCCTTTGATCGGATTTATGACAAAGACTGAATGTGATATCGATTTAGAGGATTCAGAAGTAGTTTTGCTGCAATGAGTTCTGAAGATGTTTCCATCTTAGCGTAACTATTAAAGTGGTCAAAGTTTGAATCAAAAAATATCTGATTGTGAAATTTTACGGGAATCAGAAGTCGATTTCCATAGACAACGTCATTATTCTATTCGGGAGTTAGAATTGTTTGTGTAGACTCTATATGATTGTGTAGATCTTTTATGCAGTTGCGCGAGAGTGAACCTGCAAAGTTAGCATTCAAGTGCCCAAGTCAATGAGTGAATAAAAAGAAGTAAAATGAATTATGATTAAAAAATCATACCTTACATTATACACGTGGTGAGTTATATATGATGGTTAATAATTTAACTTATTTCGGATCCAGGCCGAGCCATAACATAAATTGAGCATCTCCTAACACACCAATTGTTCAAGCATGTTGTTATTACTATAAATGTTAAATAGATCCGCCTTTTTATTCCATCATTTTTGATGGGCTGAATAAAGTTTACAATCAACTTCTTTACTTCGCCAATCCATCTCTGCTCTATTTTTTTGACTTTGATAAACGCATATATAAATGTGACAAACATGATTTATTTTACCACTATTAAATTTTACAGGCTTCAAGTTTATTACCTCTTATTTTTGGCCGACTTTATCTGATCAGACATACTCCTTGCCACCCCTAATTATTACTCTAGGAGATAGCACATTGTTGATCACAAAGCTACCACTTGTCATAATTATAAAAGTATACTAAAAGGTGATTTCTTATATACTTAATTCAAAAAGTTAGATAAAGTGACTTTTAAAATGCTTCGAAAATAATCAATAATTATATTATTTAATAAATAATTAAATACATTAAAATTAATTAGTATTATATGATTGGTTGAAGGTAAACTAATAGACAAAGTTCTCCTGTATTAAAATATTAAAGTTCAAAAAATAATATAGAAAATGTCATAATTTAGAAAAGGTTATAATTATTTCCAATCAAGTGCTTCTTAACATCACCCCGCAGAAATTGTGCTACTATATAACCTGCCCCCAAACCAAAGAAACCTCAAAACCTAAACAAACATACATATGGCCTACATCACCAAGCTAGATGTTGGCACCAGCATGACCTCAGTAGATTGCCAGAAACAAGTTCGTTCATGGAGGCTTCTACGTTCACTCATTCAACTACTAATCCCCACTTGCAACTGCATCTTAGTAGAACAAGAACAAGAACAAGAACAAGAACCAGATTACAACAACAATTCAAGAAACTGGCACAAAAAATATCCATCATCACATTCACTCATTCCCTCTACAACAATCACCGGCACGATATTCGGATACCGTAAAGGAAAAGTAAGCTTTTGTATCCAATCCAACTCCAGCTCCACAAACCCAATTCTCCTTCTACAACTAGCCATCCCAACGAGTGTTTTAGCTAAGGAAATGAGAGGTGGAACTTTAAGAATCGTTCTTGAAAGTGTCGCTTCAGGCTCCTGCAGTAACAGTGATGACCTATTTTCAACTCCTCTTTGGATCATGTACTGTAACGGAAGAAAAGTTGGGTATGCTGTTAAGCGTAAGGCTTCGAGAAGTGATTTTGAAGCATTGAGTTTGATGCGGTGTGTTTCTGTGGGCACTGGTGTTATAAACCGAAAGGAGAGTTGTAAACAAGATGATCAGCTTATGTTTCTTAGAGCTAATTTCCAAAGGGTTTCTGGCTCATCTAAAACTAATTGTGAATCTTTTCATTTGATTGATCCTGAAGGAAGCATTGGACAAGAGCTTAGTATTTTCTTTTTTCGATCAAGGTGACATTTCTTTATGTTTCTGAGGTATCGTCTGTGTTGAATCTTCTCTCATTCATAAAGAGAGGATGTTTATAAATTGTATTTAGTATTCTTAAGTAATGTTGAATTTTTTTTGTTGTTGAAGTAGACCAGCTTCAATCATTCAACATGATTAATTATACTTTTTTTTTAGTTGTGTCAAGCTATTGTGGTCACCGTAGCATTGGCATTGCTTTATAATTGTTTAATAAGTTTAATTTGTTGTTGTTTTTGAAACTTAATTCTATATGAATTTTAGTTTTTGACTATGTACCTATTCTCCTTGATGCGTCGAAATACTTCAATTCATCTTTGATGTATAATATAACTATTGCCAAAAGAGCTATTTGACGGGTTTAAAAATGATTGGTCAATGTTCTAAGATGTGTCAACCTTTTCATGCCTACGATGTAGCACGAAAACGGGAGAAAATTAATTAGAAATCATTTTGAATTTATCATGACCTAAGTATTGATATAAGGGTTATGTATATTTTGGAAAAACATTTTCAATTATTATTATTATTTTTTAAATTTATGTATATTTTTAAAGGTCATAATGAAATGAAAGACTCGTATAAATAAACATTCATGACCAAAGAAGAAAATAGAAACAAAGATATGATAATTCTTGTTGGTTGACAACCACTTAATTATTAAGGTGGTTTTTAGAAGTTTTGATCTGATTGGATTTTAAAGTAAATTTTGTTATGAGTTGTCTATTTGGTGTTAATGTGGGAAGACTTTTTTTTTATCAGACAAAAGAGTGTTTGCATTGTAAAGTGGATTATCTCCCCTTAAGTATTTGAGGACATATGGTGGGTGCAAATCCAAGAAAAAAAAGGGATATGTGATCCTCTGATTAAATTAGAGATTGACTTTTTGGAAGAATAAATTAGTGAGTTTTAGTGGGCGGGTGGTCCTGTTGAACTCATTGCTAAACTCAATCCTTATGTTCTATTTGTTTTTCTTGAAATTGTTGGTCGTGGTCTAGTAGAAGTTGGTCGGTTTGCAAAAGTGCTTTCTCGAGGGGAAGGGAGGGCTTTAAAGGGGGGTGATAAGGTGGTTTAAGTTAAGTGGTGGATGTTTCTAAGGCTAAAGGGGCATGTGACTTAAGGGTTAAAGATCTTAGACTCATAAATCTTATTTTACTAAGTAAGTGGAGTTAGAGGAACCTTCTGAATGTGCTCTTGTTGTATGTGTTGCGAGGTAGTTGTTGTTTAGTTTCGGTTCAAAGTCATATTTGAAGACAAACTCATCCAAAGGTATTTTATGTCTTCTTCTTCTGTAAAATCTCGATCTGGAAATTCTTATGATCGTGATGGTCGTATAGTTTCATACCAATGTAAGAAAGGACAAAATAAAGGAAGATATTTTTGGAGATATCCATTTTGGAGGAGTGATGAGACGTATAATTTGTTCATATGGGATGAAGACATGGGAGAAAAAGGTGGAAATGAAGTCAGAGTTATGAATTCAGAGTTGGAAGTTGTGGAAGCTATGGGCTATTTGAAGGTTATGTATGAAGATTCAAAGAAGTAGAACAAGAATTTGAAGAACAGACTGAAATCAGAGAGATTTTTTGGATATTTGAAGATTTTATATTTTGTCATCTTCTTTATGTTTAATGTTTACTTTGTTATGAAATATAATAGTTGAAGTATAGTTTGAATTGCATTGTTGATGTTGAAACTGCAGATGTAGTGTGTAACGGTTTTTTATTTTAATAATATTAATTATTAATAAAAAAACCAATTTTAACGTGGTCCATAATTTATGGCATTTGGTTTATAAAGAGTCATTTTTCTGATTTTAATAAAAATTGATACGACCATTAAATTGGGTAGTAATGGGTTTTAATGGCTTTAAATTCTTGATGGTAGAATTAAGCCTATAAATAATTTGGTCATCAAATTTTCTATCATTGCTTTTCAAAAATATACCATCTATATCGAGAGAGCAAGAGCTTAGAAGAATCAAAGGCATTTTCATATTTTGCTGGACATGAGAGTTAAACCCATGTCTTGATCCATACTACTTACAATTGCTATCATTGGGCTGCTTGTTCAATTTACATATGACGTTATTTTACTTATTATTATGATTTATTTATTCATTTAACCTTTGATTAAATTTGTGCATAAAATTAATTTATAACATTATCATAATTATTTTATTAAGCAATTGTATGTGAGATCTTAGTTATTATTTATTTGTTTTTGTTATCTCATATAATTGAGTTGTTATGTCTTGTGATCGTTATAATTTTGATTAATTTAGATTAGCCATAACATCCTTAAACTAATTAAGATTATTTCTAAAGTTTTGAGATTACATAAATAATTAGATATATAATTGTTTAATTATATGCGGTATAATAAATTTTATCCTACAGGAATCTTCATCATATTTGTATAATTAGTTAGGGTAAAATATCAAATTATTTTTTATAACTTGTCCACATGAATTATGAATTGGTATATAATTTGATAGTTTTATTATAAAGTATAAATTTGGGATAGAAAATCAAATAATTTCAACACGTTGAAATTCTGTACGTGGTTTGAAAAATCTATCGTAAAATTAAATAAATCTTATTGCATTAAAATTTAGCCCACGGGTAATTTTTATGTTGCAAGATTTATTTTATGGTATGTTTATATTGATAATACATACAATTTAGATAATATTTATGCCTCAAAATTTTGACATAAAATTTTTTTTAGCTTCTCAACCTGCTAATTTTTCTGATATCCAATGTGATATTTCTGAGCTCAGAGGAGATAACTATAAGGTACGGAAGGAAAGAATTCTGCTTCATCTAGGATGGATGGACATAAATTATGCTATTAGGAAATACGAACCACCTACAATTACAGATGAAAGTACTCCAGTTGTAATCGCACTAGAGATCCAACCGGCTCAGTATGATATTCAGTAAGACTAAGGTCATAGGTGGAATACGTGGTTCTGTCGATCAGCATGAGAATGTTTGTGATTTGCCGAAATCCATTGACTACCAGTTCGTTACTTCTGAAAAGGTTTTGGCAAGCACATTAATTATGAAATTTTCTTCCTACCGGCTCACCAGTGTGAAAGGTGTGCGTGAGCACATAATGAAAATGCGTCACATTTCAGCTCAACTTAAGAAACTTGAGGTTGATATGTCTGAGTCCTTTCTGGTGCACTATATTCTAAACTCTCTTCCGCCTGAGTATGGGTCTTTTAAGATTTCCTACAATACACATAAAGACAAATGGTCAATCAATAAACTGATGACCATGTGTGTTCAGGAAGAAGAAAGGCTTGTAATGGAACAGAGTGAGAGTGCATTATTGACAAGCACTCACGGGAAGAACAAAGCTTTCAAAACTGGCAAGTCTCAAGCCAGTCAGAAAGGGAAACTCAAAATACCACCGCGAGGTGATATCAAGAAAGAAGCAAAGTGTTACTTCTGTAAAAAGGGAGGACACGTGAAGAAGGAATGCCCTGGATTCAAAGAATGACTTGAGAAGAAAGGTAATTTATTCTCATTTGTTTGTTATGAATCTAATATGATTGATGTTAATGTTAACACCTGGTGGATTGATTCTGGATCAACAATCCATATAACAAATTCCTTACAGGGTATGCAAAACCTAAGGAAGCCAGTGGAAAGTGAGCAGACTGTCCTATTAGGAAGCAGGATGGGCTCACATGTGAAAGCTATTGGAACTTGCAATTTAATTTTGAATAATGGTTTTGTTTTGAAAATAGAAATGACCTTTTATGTACCAAGTTTCTTACGAAACTTGATTCAGTTTCTAAACTTGTACCTTTTGGATATTCTTTTAATTTTAAAGACACATTGTTTAAATTATTTTATAATTCGGAATATGTTGTGAATGGTATCTTGTCTGATGGTCTTTATCGTATTAATTTACAAATCGAATCCATTTATAGTTCAATGCATGTTCAAACTGACACTAAGCAGTGTAACATTAATGAGAATTCTTCTATGTTATGGCATCGGAGATTAGGACATATCTCCATAGAGAGAATTAAAAGGTTAGTAAAAGATGGGCTACTTAATACCTTAGATTTTGCTGACTTTGAAATTTGTGTTGATTGCATAAAGGGAAAGCAGGTCAACATGTCTAAGAAAGGTGCCAATAGGAGTTCAAGTATATTAGAAATAATTCATACAGACATATGTTATCCTAGTATGGATGCACATGGTCAGAAATATTTCAAGTGTTGGTCGAACCTTCCCAAAAGAAGAGTGAAACGAGAATAATGTTGGGATTTCTTGTATGGGCGCTCCGCAAAATTTGAATAACGTCGAAGATGTCAAGCTTCTCCCATTGAGATCTTCGTTGCCCCTGGACTATATCGAGCCAAGCGAGATACACTGTATCTCCTGGCACAGGTATGGAGGTGAAAACCGTGTCATCAGAAACCATGAACCTAACATCAATGGGTTTTGTATGATTAAACACATAGGGGATAGCAGGGGTAAAACAAGGGAAGTACTTGTTGACAGTTTTAGGATGCGTCTCTTGGGTTGGAAAAGGCCCATGGAATGCGAAGAGTTTCTTCACAACAACAAAGGGAATGAGTGTATGGTGTTGCCATTCTTTGATCTTGGATTTCACCTTGGATGAGGGCTCTGGGATGAAGTCCAGACTTTGTTTTCCAGAAATAGAGAATGTTATGGGGTTATTACCAGTGTTGAAGGGAGTACCTGATGGAGTAGCCATTGTAAAGAACGGAGTAGGTTTCTTCAAGATTTTCAAAGATTGCAGAGTTTGAAAAATGAAGCAGAAGGAGAGAAGAAAGGAACTGAAAGTTTTTGAAGATCTATTTAAGGAGAGTTTAAAGTCGTTAAAAGAGAAACAAGTGTCACTTGATATGGCGTGAGTGCCAAGAAGTGGAAAAGTTAGTGGGGTTCGCTGGAAAACCCGCACCCTAAAACCTAGGAGTGATCATGGAAAGTGATTGATTGACA